CTCCCCTCCCCCCCTCCCTCCCTCACCTCATCCCTCCCTTACCCCCCTCCCTCCCTCCCCCCTCCCTTCCTCCTCATCCCCCTCCTTCCTCCCCACCCCTCCATCCCTCATCCCCCCTCACCCCCTCCCACCCCCCCCTCCCCTCCCTCCCTCCCCTCCCTCCCCTCCCTCCCCCTCCCCCTCCCCTCCCTCCCTCCCTCACCCTCCCTCCCTCCCTCCCTCCCTCCCTCCCTCCCTCCCTCATCCCTCCCTCCCTCCCCCCTCCCCCCCCTCCCCTCCTCACCCCCCCTCTTCCCTCCCTCCCCTCACCCCCTCCCTCCTCACCTCCCTCCCTCCCTCCCTCCCTCCCTCCCTCCTCACCCCCCTCCCTCCCTCCCTCCCCTCCCTCCCTCCTCCCTCCCCCCTCCCTCCTCCCTCCCTCCCTCCCTCCCCCCCCCCTCCCTCCCTCCCCCCTCTTCCCTCACCCCCCCCTCCCTCCCTCCCCCTCCCCTCCCTCCCTCCCTCCTCCCTCCCTCCCTCCCCTCCCTCCCCTCCCCCCCTCCCTCCCTCCCTCTCCCTCCCTCCCTCCCCTCCCTCCCCTCCCTCCCCTCCCTCCCTCCCTCCCCTCCCTCCCCCCTCCCCTCCCCCTCCCCCTCCCCCCCTCCCTCCCTCCCTCCCTCCCTCCCTCCCTCCCTCCCTCCCCCCCCCCTCCCTCCCTCCCTCCTCCTCCCCTCCCTCCCTCCCTCCCTCCCTCCCCCCTCCCTCCCTCCCTCCCTCCCTCCCCCTCCCTCCCCCCCTCCTCCCTCCCCCCTCCCTCCTTCCCCCCTCCCTCCCTCATCTCAGGTCTGTCAAACTAATTGCCCCTTAACGGGGTGATCCATGACACACTTACGAATCGATCAGAAACGTGTGTGTGTGTGTGTGTGTCCCCGAATGCATAATTACCTCCTATTTCACCTAGAATAGAGAGTCTTTGTTAACTCTCTCTCTCTCTCTCTCTCTCTCTCTCTCTCTCTCTCTCTCTCTCTCTCTCTCTCTCTCTCTCTCTCTCTCTCCCAGGGCCACAAGTGTGTAATTAGACAGATGACCTTGACACTATAGCAGGTGTGTTCCCCCTCCAAGGACTCCTCCTCCCTCCAAGGCCTCCCTTGCCTCCCTCCAAGGCCTCCCTCCTCTTCTGTTTTCATTCCGTCCAAGGACAATAGTCTTCAGCCACTCCTCCCTCTTCCCCTTCCCTCTCCTCCTCCTTCTAAACTTCCTCCCCTACCTCCTTCATCTCCTTCTCCACTCTCCTCTCCCTCCTCCTCCCTCCTCCTCCTCCTCTTCTCCTCTCTTCCTCTCCTCCTCTTCCCTCCCTCCCTCCTCCTCTTCCCCTCCTCCTCTTCCTCTCTTTCTCCTCCTCTTCCTCTCCTCCTCCTCCTCTTCCCTCCTCCTCTTCCTCTCTTTCTCCTCTTCCTCCTCCTCCTCTCTTCCCCTCCTCCTCTTCCTCTCTTTCTCCTCTTCCTCTTCCCCTCCTCCTCTTCCCCTCCTCCTCTTCCTCTCTTTCTCCTCTTCCTCTCCTCCTCCTCCTCTTCCCCTCCTCCTCTTCCTCTCTTTCTCCTCTTCCTCTCCTCCTCCTCCTCTTCCCCTCCTCCTCTTCCTCTCCTCCTCTTCCTCGTAGATGAATCCTTTGAACATATAGTACGAGACAGAAAGAGGAGAGGAATGATAAAGAGAAGAAATGGAGGGGGAAGAAGAGGGGGTAATAGCTGCAGGAGGAGGAGAAGGAAGGAGAGAAGGAATAGAAGGAAGGAGAAAAGGAGGAGGAACACAGTACAATATAAGAAGGAAGTGGATATATGCCAGTCTTGCCCTGGTTAGTAATGAATGGTGGATTACGGTACACAGGTATGGCCAGGTAAGTCCCTCTAACACCTGAGGTAATTTTACTTTTACTGAATATCCTTCGACCAATTCACTTCCTGTTGTATTGAGAAAACTTTTAAGGAAATAATTACGGATAGGAAAGAAGGAATCGTTTGAATGTTAGTTATTTCACCATAAGATTAGCTGTATTAATACCTAACCTAACCAAACCTACTCTTTATCTTAACGTAATCTAATCTTATTTATCTTAACCTAACCCAACATAACAGCGCTTAATCTAACCCAATCGAACCTAACTTAACCTAACACCTTCCCAGATGTTATTTGATCGTTAAGTGAAATGAGCAGTGTGATGAGGGTGGGTCGGGGGGGGTGGGAGGGTCGGGGGGAGGGTGGCGAGGGGTGCTAATCTTCAGGTGATCCGAAAATTCTATTAATTTGACTCATTTCCCCTAATAAATAAGAGTCCTGGTAAGACAGACTTAAGTGTGTGCCTAAGGGCCTTTTTTTGGAGTTTGTTTACTTTCCCTTGTAGTTAAAGATGTATTCTAACCTCAAATTCTTAACTAATAATGATTGTTGTGTTTTTTTGGGGGGTAGATTATATATAGTAGATGAGTTAAGAAATAATAAACTCAACGAAAACAAATAAAACACATAAATATCCCGTCCAAAATGATCGACCTAAAATAAATATGAACGAACTAGACTGAGACTTTCCGATCAATTTCACGTTGTAATGGATACGACGCTCGTGTACAAAACCTGTATATATCTCCTTTTTCTGGTAGACTAGAGGCCGGTGTGTGATAACAGCCAAGGCAGGTACCTGATATCACGGTTATCTGGTCTGTATATCGTTCTGTAATCTCTTTAAAGGGGAATAACCACACAAATGAACACCACTCATTCCCAGTTTCTTCTCTTATAGGCTTCTTGGTTATCCGAATTTTCGTTTTATTTTATCCGATTATTTTAGAAGTCATTAGAATTTTTTTTTATTCATACATGATATTATAGTTTAGAGATTATTTATATATTTGTATATAATGTTAATGTAAAGAAAATGTATATGGAAATATATTATCGTTTCGGTCAGACAGCGAATTTTAGGGTTTTTTAGGTTAGGTTAGGTTAGGTTAGGTTAGGTTAGGTTAGGTTTTTGATGTGTTTTGAACAACTTCCAAATAATCGGATGACTGAAGCGATAATTTTACCTGCTTTTTCTCTCCTCAAACTCAGGTAAAATAATCTCACTGTCGAGGCTACGGGTTTAAATCCAGGCCGACCCATTTGGCAACAGTTATAATCCCCCATCGTAAGGATCCTTGTAAGCCGTAAGAAAGATCCCCTAAGTCCTATTGAAGAACCCATAGGACCCCAGCGACAGAGGGCTGACCGAAGTCCTTTTAGCAACAATGGCGAGGTATTATACTCAGGGTGGCTCCCAAACCTTGCCTCAAAGGCGGTAGAGACGAAACCAGGTAATTTCTGTTTATTTTTCTGTTTCCCGTCTTGTTGGTTACAGTGTCTCACACCGACAAATGATTTGGGAAGGATATTTTGTGGTCTGGATATCATGTTAGCATTATATTGAGGAGGTAATGATGGTGACGGGATGTAAACAAAATTGGGTAATCGTATGTTGTACTCAGGGCGTCTTGGTTCCCTCAGCTTGGAAAAACAAATGACTAAGAAGAATATAAGACAGCACTGAATACCACTCAACACCTATATAAACCGTATATATTGACCGAAAATGCTTGTATACAACCCGAATTTATTGACAAATTCGCTCATATACAACCCGAATTTATTGACAAATTCGCTCATATACAACCCGAATTTATTGACCAAAAAACACTCATATATAACCCGGAGTTATTGACCAAAAAACGCTCATATATAACCCGGAGTTATTGACCAAAAAACGCTTATATACAACTTGGATTTACTGACTAAAAAAAAAACACTCGTTATAAAACCTGGAGAAATTGACCAAGTGAAATATCAAAGCGGAAATGTCGCCAAACTTCTGCCCCACAATTGTCGTCAACCTTTTGGAATTACTAAAAAAACAAAAACAATAATAACTGTCGTCTCGTTAGCAAAAGTTGAAGTACAGTTGGTCAACAAACTTCACTACTTAAAACAGAGCCCTAGAGTTATTAACTAACGGCTGGGTAAACCTGCCTCCTCTACCTCGGGAAATACACTGATGAAGTACTCCACGTATTGCTCAGTCACATCTCTGTCTCCTGTTGAGGTCTAGGAAACTTTGCCTCTTCATCTTCCTAACACGAACAAGATAAACACGCAGTCTCTCTCTCTCTCTCTCTCTCTCTCTCTCTCTCTCTCTCTCGGGGGAGGGAGAGAGAGGGAGACCTTTCCTACACTGACTTTCATCTCATACCATACACGTCATCACGTAGTAATATTGGCGTTGATAATTTACTACAGCATTTATGTAAAATTGGTGAATTTTTTTATTTTTTTTACGGGAATTAGCCCACCCGGGCACAGGTCAAACGACCCACAACGGAGCCTGGGGGGCGAAAAAAAAAGAACGGAAAGAAATTGAAAATATAGAAAAAAAAAGGTTATACTGTATTAATCTACACCACGAAGATGCCGGAAAACCATCTTTTTAAAGTGAGACAGATTGTAAGAGCATGGAAACACAGAAGAAGGCAGAGCATTCCACAGTTTGGCTGTGTGAGGAAAGAAGGAGGTACTATAACGGGTTATTCTCGTGTGACCGACATCCACAGAGAAATGGTGGGCACCGCGGGCAAGACGTGTGTTACGAACCCACGGCCTTGCCGGCGGTACACAGGATGCCAAATCCACTGAACATTGCCTGTTAAAGTACCTGTAAAAGAGAGAGAGTGAAGCAACATTGTGGCAAGAGAAAGGGGAGAGAGATTGTCGACTAAAGGAGGAGAGTTAATAAGACGAAATGCCTTTGATTCCACCCTATCTAATAGTTGGACAGAAGAAGAGCCACCCCAGATATGAGAGCAGTACTCCAAGTTAGGACGAATGAATCCCTTATATACTTGGAGCAATTATTTAAACCACCGGTACCTCTACGTAAAGGAATCAATTGATAAAGTACGTATATTAATTTTATAAGATTTAGGTCGGTTACTCACCAAAGATGTATGACGCCTGGATGACGCGGTGACGCCCCCACACGAGTGAACATCAAGGTGACTTACATGTGACGTCTGTAGTCTCTGAGCTGAGGAGAACCTTCACACACACGTCTCACCTTTCTAAATAAATAAGTTATATTTTTATTCAGCTTGTAGACTCAATAGCTGCAAAGGACGTCAATTAAACTTCAAAATTATCTTCAATCTTAAATAACTTGTGTCTTTCACCCTCTTTCTCTCTCTCTCTTTCTCTCCCTCTCTCAAAGCTGTCAGTTCACTAAGTTGAGTGACTGTGAAATGACGCGTTACACACACAAAACGTAAACCCCGTATTCATTCGGGACACGTCACTGACAGGCCTTGTCGCGTCACTCGGGGTATCTTTCCTGGTGAAGTCATTGTTCCACCAGCCACCGTGGGACGTGTTACTGATGGCGCCATTGTCATATCATCACTGTGGTGTATGTGGTCAGTCTTGCCTTATCATACACTACTAAACTATATCACTTTAGGGAATTATTTCATTATTTTTTTTGCCCCTCCGTCAAGTTGATGTTTGTTGATATCTGTCACTATAAAGCTATCAGCCAAGTAGACAGAAACTCCCGTCACAATACTGTCAAAAATGATTACCACTAACCAGACATGTAGCAAAATATAGACTAGTGTTGTTTATGTTGTTTGGGAAGATGTTCTCGAGATGCTCCAAATTGCTGCAACATTTCGCTAACGGGGTTGGTTTAATCTGTAATGAATATATAGTTTTAACGCAACATTTGAGTGTGTGTCTAATAAACCTGCTGGCCCCGTTTTACGATGTGTCGATTCAATCCCTTTAGTTCGTGTACCCTAAGTTCACCCAGCTGTGAATGGGTACCTAAGTTTACCGATGAGGACGTAAATACGGTCGAGTACAGTGCCATGAGGAAGTGAATACGGTCGAGTACAGTGCCATGAGGAAGTAAATACGGTCGAGTACAGTGCCATGAGGAAGTAAATACGGTCGAGTACAGTGCCATGAGGAAGTAAATACGGTCGAGTACAGTGCCATGAAGTAAATACGGTCGAGTACAGTGCCATGAGGAAGTAAATACGGTCGAGTACAGTGCCATGAGGAAGTGAATACGGTCGAGTACAGTGCCATGAAGTAAATACGGTCGAGTAGTAAGGAAGTAAATACGGTGAGTATGTAAATACGGTCGAGTGCCATGAGAAAATACGGTAGTGCAATGAATACGGTCGAGTACAGTGCCATGAAGTAAATACGGTCGATACAGTGCCATGAGGAAGTAAAAGTACGGTCGAGTACAGTGTCATGAAATAAATACGGTCGAGTACAGTGCCATGAGGAAGTAAATACGGTCGAGTACAGTGTCATGAAGTAAATACGGTCGAGTACAGTGCCATGAGGAAGTAAATACGGTCGAGTACAGTGTCATGAAATAAATACGGTCGAGTACAGTGCCATGAGGAAGTAAATACGGTCGAGTACAGTGCATGAGGAAGTAAATACGGTCGAGTACAGTGCCATGAAGTAAATACGGTCGAGTACAGTGCCATGAGGAAGTAAATACGGTCGAGTACAGTGTCATGAAATAAATACGGTCGAGTACAGTGCCATGAGGAAGTAAATACGGTCGAGTACAGTGTCATGAAGTAAATACGGTCGAGTACAGTGCCATGAGGAAGTAAATACGGTCGAGTACAGTGTCATGAAATAAATACGGTCGAGTACAGGTGCCATGAAGTGAATACGGTCGAGTACAGTGCCAGCCTCTAGTGATACAGTAGGACGAGTACAGTGCCATGAGGAAGTAAATACGGTCGAGTACAGTGTCATGAAATAAATACGGTCGAGTACAGTGCCATGAGGAAGTAAATACGGTCGAGTACATTGTCATGAAGTAAATACGGTCGAGTACAGTGCCATGAAGTAAATACGGTCGAGTACAGTGTCGTATATACTTGACTAACAAAGACTCAATACAGTTATCTTTACCAATGGTTATCTGCAGTGGTTATTGTGTACCACTGCCCCAATACACTGATCTATTGGTGCTTTGAGCTACACCCAGGCAGAGTGTTAACGAGTGGTTGGTTCAGATCTATCACAGGTCAGCCTCTCGATACAGTGGACTCCTTTCATTCCTATCCCTCTCGTGACCTGATTTATCCTGACGTCATTTCTCCCTTGACATGACCTATCCTGACGTCATTTCTCCCTTGACATGACCTATCCTGACGTCATTTCTCCCCTTGACCTATCCTGACGTCATTTCGCCCCTTGACCTTTCCTGATTTCATTCCTCCCTTGACTTGACCTTTTCTGACCTGAGCTGGTTTCAGTGATATCCTCTCTCTCTCTCTCTCTCTCTCTCTCTCTCTCTCTCTCTCTCTCTCTCTATTTGGGTCAGGAGGGGAGGACGTAAAGGTGGTGACATCTGGCGAGTCTCTGGGCATCTGGGCTGACCTCTGCTGCCCACCGGGTGACCTTTAGAAGCTATATGATGTGTTTAATTTGACCTTTGACCTTTCTGTTTGTGTTTTATTATCATATATTCTGTTTATATTGTTGATGTCAAACAGCTGATGGAGTCGGTATGTTGTTGTTGGTGTGGTGACGAGTACAACGAACCTATTCTTTATTCTCCTGTTTTTCCTGTTTCTTCCCATCTATCTTTATTACCCAATGCTGATAGATATATTGTTTAATATTTACTAGTGATTATGAGTTTAAATCAAGCGTTATTATTAAAAAAAATATATATTAAAGAAAACTCCGCTAGAGATGAACCCATTGAGAAAGGGCACAAAGGCATAGTTCAATTTATCCTGAAAACACGTAAAAATATTCCCTCCCTCCATAAATTCCTTTCCTTTTAGAAATACATAACAACACTCCTTAACCCCCGCCATTATTAAAACAATGCGAGGGTTTTTATGGGAAAAATAGTAGAGGCAGGTGATGGCGTGTTTTCCCCTGACGTTCCCAGGAGAATGACAACAGAGGAAGTCCACCACAGGCGAGTCTGTGGGGACTGGCCGACCGACTCCTCCTAGGTATGGTAATAGTGTACTGTTCTAAGACCTTCACCTGTCCTTCTGTTTTAAGACCTTCACCTATCCTACTGTTTTAAGACCTTCACCTGGCTTAATAAGACCTTTACCTGGCCTAATAAGACGTTCACCTGGCCTAATAAGACCTTCACCTGGCCTAATAAGACCTTCACCTGTCCTTCTGTTTTAAGACCTTCACCTGGCTTAATAAGACCTTCACCTGGCCTAATAAGACCTTCACCTGGCCTAATAAGACCTTCACCTGGCCTAATAAGACCTTCACCTGGCCTAATAAGACCTTCACCTGGCCTAATAAGACGTTCACCTGGCCTAATAAGACGTTCACCTGGCCTAATAAGACCTTGTAATAAGACCTTCACCTGGCCTAATAAGACACCTGCCCTAATAAGACCTTCACCTGGCCTATAATACCTTCACCTGGCCCTGGCCTACCTTCACCTGGCCTAATAAGACCTTCAAGACCTTCACCTGGCCTAATAAGACCTTCACCTGGCTAATAAGACCTTCACCTGCCCTAATAGGACCTTCACCTGGCCTAATAAGACGTTCACCTGGCCTAATAAGACGTTCACTGGCCTAATAAGACGTTCACCTGGCCTAATAAGACCTTCACCTGGCCTAATAAGACCTTCACCTGACCCCCCTGGCCTAATAAGACCTTCACCTGGCCTAATAAGACCTTCACCTGGCCTAATAAGACCTTCACCTGGCCTAATAAGACCTTGGCACCTTCACCTGGCCTAATAAGACCTTCACCTGGCCTAATAAGACCTTCACCTGGCCTAATAAGACCCTCACCTGGCCTAATAAGACCCTCACCACCACCACCTGTGTCCAGTTCTCACAAGATCTCTCTACTTCTTCACCTCTCCTTCCAGGTGTCTGGTTGGTTCTCACGGTGCTGGGGTGGGGGGGGGTAGGGAGGAGGGGGGGAGGGGGGGAGGAGGGGGGGAGTCAAAAGAGGCAGAAAGAAAGGTAGAGAGGAGTAGGGGGAGGGAGGAAGGAAGGGAAAGTGGGAGGGAAGGATAAAGTAGGAAGAGGCATAAGAAAGGAGGAAGGAAAGAAGAAAGTAATTAAATAACAGATAGAGATAAGAAAATACAAATAAAGATACGAATAAGGAAAGAGAAACCAAAAGAGATATAAAGAAAGATAAAGAGAAACGAAAGAACAGGTAGAGAGAAAGGTAGGAACAAGTATCTCAGGTGTGTGAGAGAAGCCGTTACCTCGCTACTGGAGGTACGGAACAAAAGTAACAAAAGGTAACGTGGCTAAGGTGACAATGTTAGTTTGGGTGTGTTTGGTTCCTTAAGGTTCGGCCGACAGTATGAGCGAGTAACCATTATATCATCGACGGGGAACTCAGGTAATTTAGGTAACTCCCTCAACAGGTAACTCAGGTAACTCCCTCAACAGGTAACTCAGATAATTCTCTCACCAAGTAACTCCCTCAACAGGTAACTCAGGTAACTCCCTCAACAGGTAACTCAGATAATTCTCTCACCAAGTAACTCCCTCAACAGGTAACTCAGGTAACTCCCTCAACAGGTAACTCAGATAATTCTCTCACCAAGTAACTCCCTCAACAGGTAACTCAGGTAACTCCCTCAGCTGACAAATATTGGGTCACTAGTCCTGTCTGTCCAGGATATTGATGATGATGGTGGTGGTAGTGGTGGTGGTGGTGATGGTGGTGGTGGTGATGAGTGGTGGTGGTGGTGATGGTGGTGGTGGTGATGATGGTGGTGATGATGGTGGTAATGGTGGTGGTGGTAGTGATGATGGTGGTAATGGTGGTGGTGGTAGTGGTGGTGTTGGTGCTGTTGTAGTAGTAGTAGTAGTTATTATTGTTGTTGTTTGTTGATAGTAGTGGTAGCGAACACGACGTAATACACACACACACACACACACACACACCTGTGCTACAGCTGTTCCACACCTGTAAACACCTGCCTCATAAATATCCTACGCTTTTAAATCATAGTTTATGAACTTTATACGGAAGCTCAACATTCACTCATATTTATCCTTCACAGTTAACATTCTCACATTCATAGACAACAGACAAACACTCATTCAACATCCATGACCTTGTTTCCTGTTGTCTGTTAACGGGAGACATTCACAACCATTTCTGTTTAACTTTTATGAAGGGAAAAAATTTATTGGCAAGGAAAAAATATAACACGTGTTTTGGGTGGGTTAGGTTAGGTTAGGGTGGGTTAGGTTAGGTTTTGGTGGGTTAGGTTAGGTTTTGGTGGGTTAGGTTAGGTTTTGGTGGG